TTTTTTAAATCTGAAATCAAACTCTGTTTTAAGTATAATTATTTTCTTTTCTCTGTACTTTTATTAAATGAATTTAAAATATTTCACACTGTAGATGAGCTGAAATCTGTTAAAAATAATATAAACATGTTTATGTCCATATCCTTTGTATTCTAAGTACCTCTGCTTATACAGTATTAACAAAGTTTTATAATTCTCAGCCATGTGAGTGGATTTAGCTGAGGAGATTTGAAGCAGAATTATAATCTGGTTTATGCAACACCAACAAAATTTCTAAACCAGTTACATTTTATTTAGAGACTATTTTTTACAACAAGTATTAAAACATAAGAAACTAATTTGAGCTTAAAATATTGATAGGGGAACACAATGAAAATAAATATAGAACATGATTTCCTTGTAGCATTACATTCTGTGGTGCAATAGAGATTGGCTACACTTTTAGACTTTTAGAGAAAATGGTGCATACAGATTTTGATGAAATCACAGGGAAGATTTATGAATACCAGAAGAGGTTCCAATTGGTTCACTCCAAGAAGTTGCTCAAATAAAACTAGACCTGCATTGATGACAGTGACTAAAATTTGTATGCTTCTTGTGGTGTTCTGTAGCTATGATAAATAAAAGGACGGAAATGCTCTATAGATGTTAATCTCACAATATAGCAATGATTGGATTGCTTATCTTTCACACCCAATTGACCTAAAAATTTAAAAAATCCACTACCTCCACCACCACCTCCAAGCTGAACATTTACTTTTATGTAAGTGGAAAATAATTACTTTGCTTGGAACTTTTGTGTTCTTGGGAAGACAGGCTAATGCACTTCTGCTATCAAAACTTTAAGGCGGTTTCAGTCTAGATCCAGCAGTTCTTCATGTGAAGATCCAAGTATTAAGACAAGAAGTTGAGCATTTTTTCAAATGTTTATTGTCCATTAGTCTATCTTCTTTTAAAAAGTTTCTGTTCATGCTGTTTGCTTACTAGCAATGGAGATGTTTGATGTCTTCTTGCTTATTTCTATAAGTTTTTGTACATTCTTGTTATTAGCCCTTTTTCAGATCCATAGCATGCAAATATCTCTCATTCTGTAGGTTGTCTATTCACTCTATTGATCATCTCCTTGGAAGTGCAGAAGCCTTGTAATTCTTCTTGTTGTTGTTGCTGTGATTGCCTTTCAGGTCTTCTTTGTAAATTATTTGCCAAGGCTTATAAGAGATTTTCTAACATCTTCTTCTAGAATTCATACAGTTTCATGCCTTAAATTTAAGTCTGTTATCCATTATGTTATTTTTTTGTGAGTGGTGAGATGTCTCGATTCTATTTCAGTCTTAATCATCAGAGAAATGCAAATCAATACCACCATGAAATATCACCTAACTCCAGTGAAAATGGACTTTAGTCAAAAGTCCAAAAACAATGGATGCTGGCATAAGTGCACAGAGAAAGGAACATTTATATGATAGTACAATCTCTAGGGAAAGTAGTTTGGAGACACCTCAAAGAGCTAAAAGTAGACTCATTATTTGAACCAGCCATTCCACTACTGGGTGTTTATGCAAAGGATAAAGTCATTCTATGGGTATGTTGATAAAATCACATTCTATAAAAAACACAGTGGAATTTGAATGTTTACAGCAGAACAATTTACAATTGAAAAGATGAGGCAACAACTTAAGTGCCCATCAATACATGACTAGATTAATAAAGTGTGATAAATGTATAGCATTGGAAATTTCTCAGCCATAAAACATTGTTACAACCTGGGTAGAACTGGAGACCATCCTTCTAAGTAAAGTATCGCAAGAATGGAAAACAAACACCACATGTGCTCACTTTTAAAATGGAACTAAATGATCCATATGCACGTGTATACATGGTAGTAGAAATCAGTGGAAATCAAAGAGACAGATGTAGGGAGGAGGGGATGGGTAAATTCACACCATATTTGCACAGCACCCACTATGTGGTACATAGACACAATTATAAGCTTGACTCAAATTGTATGAAAGTAGTAATTCATGTCATTTGTACCCCTGTAACATACTGAAATTTAAAAAAAGACTTCAAATTGGGGGAAAAAGAGATAATGAGGATTTTCAAGCAAAAAAAATTGTTTTTAAGAAGACGGACATCGTTGGCTTTTAAAGGAGGAGTCACATGCCTTGTCAGATTCTGGCATAGGTAAGAAAGGGCTAGGTGCATTGGGGGCAGGCTGTGGAAACTGTGACTCTTGGGGTCAGTAACACTGCCCAGGGACCTTGAGAATATCAGCTTGTTTTTCTTACAGAAAATCCATCATTTCTGGGAAACAACTCAAAAATTCAAATAGTTAGTTAAGAGAGAGGCTTATAAAAATAGATAGGAGTCACTGAAATTTGTTTATGGGGCCAATTACACAGCTGTGTATGCAGGAAGTTTTCATGGCCTGAACTTCTGAACCACTACTGTAGAACAGTCAGCGGCATGTCTGAAGTAGGCCAGTGAGAGGGTCACGATAGGGGTCTACTTACTGTTTCACATGACATGAAAATATAAAACGTACTTGACCAAATGGATCTTTCACACTTGCTTTATTATAGTCATCAGAGGTAAAGATGAGATTCCTCTTCTTTAGAAAGTATTATTTACTTAAAAAAAATTTCTATAGAAGAACTATTTCTCAATTCCAATGTTGAATAAATGATAATTACCCTGAAAATTACTTCAAAATAACAGATAACAATGAGTGATTCAACTTGTTTCTTTCATTTGCACCCTGGTATTTTTATATACTGAGGATAAGATTCAAAATCAAATGTACAAATATTCATATTAGACTATAAAATCTATCCCTTGATGTCTAAGTAACTTTGGATAAGAGCATGATTAAGAGATTTATGATGTCTAACTTATGAAAGCTTGCTCTTAAATACCTTTTATACCTTTTATACTCCTTATAATTTTTATTTTAATTTTTATAATTAGCTATCTCTAACATTTTTTAGTAAAACTGACATTTTCTCAAATTTTAGAAAAGCTACCTTTTCTATATTTTTAAATTCAGGACACTGATTAATGATTATTCAAAAAATACGAAAGGAGCAATTACCCCACCAAAATTGTTTTGTACTTGCAAAATGAACAGAATTCTTTTCTTGTGAATTTGGGAAGTCAAACTTTAGAGATAAAAATTGTAGATGAAAACGCACAAAGAGAAAAACACAGAGAAGTGTTGGTATGAAGGTATTACTAATAATTATAAAATCTGAATTTGGGGCACTGATCATGTGAGTTATACGATCAGTTATTTAAAACAGACAAAAATAATTAAATATAATGTATCTTGATAATTGAATGGAATAAATCTCAAATATCTGACATCCAGCATCCCCTCACTTTCTCCCAAGAGGATGAAGGGAGAGGAATAATATTTTATCCTGGAAGGTTAAATCTCCTACACATGTTGATTATATTAACTTAGGTTTTCTTTCTGAGAAGCACAATGATGTGTTGAGTCTAAATTTTTCATGAATTTACTAATCCTCTGTTTTGAGATAGACAAGTGACCTCAGCTTAATAAGTAATTTTCAAGGGAGCAGGTAGAGCAGCAACTAGACATCTCAGTAGAAATGCTGTTGAGTGTGTGTGTATACAGTGTGTACATGTGTATACACAAACACACACACCTGCACGCACACACACACACATATATCCCAATAATGTTCCTGGTTTTCTCTATGAGATGCTTAATCCCAAACCTAGGGCCTCAGAAACCACCAGGATCTGGATTCCTATATTGAACCCTTCATGTGCCTGTGGCTCCCAGGCAAAATATTATAGTGACAAGGATCACTGTGTAATGAACAAACCAAAGTCAGTTTTGAAAAGTACAACTGACCACATATTGTTTAATTGAATATAACTGACAAGGAAATTGGAAAGAACTTGTTCATAAATATATTTAAAAGGACTCTTAGGGCAATAATTAAGATTGTACTACATCAATGGGACTAAATTAGTTTGTTTTCTTTCCAATTAAAGAAAAATTCATTTACTGAACAAAATAGTTCTGGCTTTGCCAGCTTTATTTTTTGCAGCCGAGTAAAATTTTAATTTAACATCTCTTGTCTACCTGTGCATTTGTAAATGCTGCTAATTCATCAATAGTAGGCAAATCCAGTATGCATACTAAATAAGTTAGAATTAAAGAAGCTGATTGCAGAAATAACCTAACTTATTAGGAATTCTTGTCCTGGCTTTGTTCTTTGATGAAGGTTCATTCTTTATTACATGGATAAATTGGTAGTTGAGAAAAAAAGGGGAGGTGAATGGCAGTTAAGCAAATATATTGGAATTAGGAATAACAGCACTTGTATGAGTTCAGAGGTATTGAGGACGATATGTCAGATGACGGTAGGTGGATGAAATACACACTTATGTATATCATTTGATTGCAATCCCAAATGCTGTCATGTAATTTTCTTTGCATTTAATTTGTCTGAATTTCTGTTCGAAATTTTCTTTCTGTTTAAGAGAATGTATTTAACTACAGTGCATAATTTTTCCTTATTGAAATTCAGATGAACAGGAAGAAAAAAATCTCAAATTTTTAAGTTTTCTTGAGCCTTCCATAACTGATTTGCGGAAGTAGAGAACACTCCACCGAATCAAGAGTAATTTGGAGCAGTGTGGTTTTGGTTTTGTGTAGGACGTGACATCTTTGTATTTTTTCACTTATTTTTTATTATAGTGAAGCAAAATGTATTAATATGCAGCAATAATATGTTTATTTTACTTACCAGTGACTCTGATATCTTTTACTACACATTGTATTGTATATGTGGGTTTTACTCTATGTTTGGATACATATGTATCATACACACATGAATTGCTTTATTTTAAATAGACAGAGTATTTTTTGGTGGAAAGTTAAGTTAATTGTCGGAAGTCTACTTCGTCTACTATCAGTTAGATTTATTTAGAAATTTTACTGCTTTTTAGAAAATGTGTGAAAATAATTTTTATTGCATCAATTCATAAAACTTTTTACACACAAAAAAATGTTCATGGCCTGGGTTTCTGTTTATTGGTAGTATGATTTAAAAGTAATATATTGTATTGATAATAAGGTTTTCGCCATCAAAAGTATAGAGAATTTAGTCTCACAAATGTAAGGTTCACACATTCCTTCTTCTTTTTCAACAATCTGAACTGTTTATAATTCTTTGTCCATCAACACTGTCACAGTAATAATGTTGATCACAACTAACATTTTTACGCTTAGTCATTTCTGGTTTTATGCTCTTTATTTGTACTTTTTTATTTCTGAAATAACCAGATGAAGAAGACGCTATTATTTCCCACATTTCATACAGGAAGAAACTGCAGTTTTGAGAGTTTCAATTCTCACACGCTTTAGAGCAAGTTACCAGTTCAAATTCATGTCCTTCCACTTACCAGCTGTGCTGCCTGTCCAGTCTATTAGCCTCATGAAGTTCAGGATTATTGATCAAAATATAGAAATTATAGCATTTGCGTCATATAGTTTTTGGGATATAGAAACTGTGTAAACTGTGACTGATACAAAATGAGCGTTTGATAAATATTTACATAATCATAGGGCCTAATGACATCTCAGACAGCTCGTTTCACGCTCCTCTCTATGTATTTAGATTTCAGGTTTTTCAGTATTTTAAGTGACTTGCTGTTTATTCATCTGCTTTCCACATTTCATAAATATGTTGGCAAATCCCCTCTCCCCTGCTGTCGTTTCCTTCCTAGCATTCACTGTTTTCATGTATATGCCTCTATATGTATATGCGTATTTGACGTGTGTATATTTATTTACTACTGTCACTTCAGATCCCGAAAAGAGTAAAGCAAATGTGTTTACGTCTTCAATCTTCACCTTTCACCTTAGTGAATTCTCCGTTTATCTCTAACTTTCCCATCTGAGGATTACTAACGACCAAATCTAAGGATTGCTTCTAATTTTCTTTCTGATTGATTGAACTCTATTTGCTGCATATCCCTCTCCTTACTGAGACTCTTTATTACCCTGGATATTGTTTCTGATTCTATTATTGAAATTTTCTTCAAACTTCTAGTATCATAAACTTTTATTTTACTAGTTCTCCCCTTACCACTTGTCCACTGGGGGTAAATTCAAAGACCTTTGTTGGTTGCCTGAAAGCTCAGATGGTACTGAGCCCTATATATACTGTGTTGTTTTTCTTTTCTATTCACACCTATGTAAAGTTTAATACCTAAATTAGGCAAAGTAAGGGATTAACTACAATAACTAATTAAAAAATCATAGCAATTATAAGAGTAAGTATAATAAAAACTAGACCAGGGTACAAGCATGGTGGTGTGTACCTGTAACTCCAGCTACTAGGAGGTGGGTATTTTCTATAAAACTTCTCTATACACTCACGATAGTTTCCCAAAGAGCTTCTTAGTCCTCCTTCCAGCACAACCTTCTCTGGCGTGCCCCTCCCCCACCCCCAGCAACTCAGCTTTCAAACAGGTACATGTTTGAATCAGGTTGTAATTCAATGTAAATTCATCCCTCACAGACTTTCTGAAGACCATGCACACGAAGACAGATCAACATTTTGTGTGTTACTGAGCAGCCAGTGAGTTCTTCAGGTTTTCACACCCCAGTCCACAGGAAATGACTCTAGTGGATACATTGTCTAATTCTCTAAACTATTTCAAACACCTTTTCTCTTAGAGCTTGAGGAAATATTACCATATATAATTCAAAAAACTTTCTCCCAAAAAGGATAAGAGTAGTTTAATTTAAAAATAGATTGTAGGGCTGGGCACAGTGGCACACACCTATAATCCTAGTACTCCGGAAGGCCAAGGTGGGTGGATTGCCTGAGCTTACAAGCTCAAGACCAGCCTGAGCAAGTGGGAGACCTCGTCTCTAAAAATAGCTGGGCATTGTGGTCGGCGCCTATAGTCTCAGCTACTTGGGAGGCTGAGGTGAGGCAAGAGAATCACTTGAGCCCTGGCATTTGAGGTTGCTGTGAGCTATGATGCCATCAGCACTCTACTGAGGGTGACAAGGTCAGACTCTGTAAAAAATAAATAAATAGATAAATAAATAAATAAAATTAGATTGCATATGTTGTTTTAAATCTCAACAATTAATTTAGTTGTCTCATTCATAGTCATTTCTACACAGATGTACAAAGTAGGACAATTAAGCTTGTGAACTCATCCTAGAAAGAATTCGTGACCTTAATAATCCTACCTCGTCTATTGAAAGGGTTAGTTATTGCAAAATGTATGTTTATATAGAACATTCCATTGTTCTATATAAAATTTAGGGGGCATGAATTTACTCAGGTTAGTCATAAATTTAAATATACTCACTTTCAACTCAAAATCTTTCCCCAAATTAATTCAATTGGTAATGTTTTTGGATGAAACATTAAAAGTTTTGAATTTGTTTCCTATGCCATTTTCCACTCGAAGAAAGGGAGAATGTACTGAGTGAGCTGAGCTTTATAATAGAAAAAGAAATAATAAGGTATTTGTCTTATCAAGAATTTGTGTTTCTATAATGGCTATGAGGCAATAAGTACAACTTGGTATTAATGGTAGCATTTAGTCTACACAAAGTAATATACTTTAAATCTTACTCAATATTTACTATTTATCTGTGAAAGTAATTTGCTGAGTCATGGTAATAGTAGCACACTTTCAGTAGTATTTTAAACTTCAGCATCTGGTTGCTTTATAGAAGATGTATATAGACCTCATGAGAGACATAATCCAGAAGATGAAAATAAAAATTATTAAAATATTCATTTCAAGATTTGCAGTGTATAGTCAATGACAAATGACTTTGCTTTTATATTTTTGTCTTGATAATTGGCAGGATGCTACTAACGCCTGCCATCATTACTAACTCTGAGAAATTAAGGGACACCTAAATCTGGCAGCACATGACACCAAAGCTCTAGCGTACTCTCTAACAAATGATACAGCACCTGTGCCAAGGAAGGGTAAAAGAAGTTTTCGCTGAGTGTTATAGAAAATGTTTTCTCTGCTTTTCCCATCAGAGACGTCTTCCAATTGTGGAAAGATGATATGTATGGAGATTTTTCATGCAGCTTGAATTGGAACCATCTGTTCTTCCATAGGATGGAAGCAATACAGAAAACAGGATGACTTGGTCCTACTCTGTTGTGTGTCACCATGACAGGTGTATAACAGAAGGCTTGAGGATGAGTAATTTATAGAGGAAAAAGTGTTAAGTTCATTATTTTGGTGGCTAGAAAGACTAAGATTTGGTAGCTGCATCTGATGAGGGTCTCAAGCTGCTTCTAGTCATGGCCCAAAGGAGAAGGGGAGTGGGCACATGTAAAGAGATTGAATAGCAACAGAGGAAACAGGAGAGAGCAACTAAGGAAGACAGGCTTTTCTTTTTTTTTGAGACAGAATCTCTCTCTGTCACCCTTGGTAGTGTGCTGTGTAGCATCATTGCCACTCACAGCAACCTCAAACTCTTGGGCTCAAGAGATGCTCCTGCCTCCACCTCCCAAGTAGCCCTTTTAACCAACTGATCCACTGTCTCCTGTCACAGCACAGGATCAAGGTGAAAGGAGAACCTTGTGTGGGAACTCACCCATCCACAAGCTCTGCCTCAACGTCTGTGTGGGGGAGAGTGGAGATGGAGCGACACGGGCAGCCAAGCTGCTGGAGCAGCTCACAGGCCAGACCCCTGTGTTTTCCAGGGCTAGATACACCGTCAGATCCTTTGGCATAGGGAGACCTGAGAAAATTGCAATCTACTGCGCAGTCAGGGGGGCCGAGGCAGAAGAAATCCTGGAGAAAATTCTAAAGGTACAAAAGTATGAATTAAGAAAAAATAATTTCTCAGATACTAGAAATTTTGTGATCCAGGAGCACATCATTCTGGGTATCAAATTTGACCCAAGCATTGGTATCCGTGGCCTGGACCTCTATGTGGTGCTGGGTGGGCCAGGTTTCAACATGGCAGACAAGAAGGGCAGGACAGGCTGCACTGGGGCGGAACACACTGAGCAAAGAGGAAGCCATGCCAGCAGAAGTGTGACAGGATCATCCTCCCTGGCAAATAAATTCTTGTTTTCTACCCAAAAGGCCAATAAAAATGCTTTCAGTGAAAACAAAACAAAACAAAACAAAACAAATGGATCCATTCCTGCAGGAGTAAGTACTCATTGACTCCCATAAGAGGGCACTAATCTCTTTGTTAGGATCTACCTTGAAGACCCAAACACCTGCCAATAGGGCCCACATTCTAATACTGCCTCACTGGAGATCACATTTCAAGATGAGAGTTAAAGGGATGAACCACATTCCCACTATACCAACAGTCAAAGGATCTTTTTTCATTTGATACTGGAATACTTATGAACAATTCTGTAATTAAAATGTGTCAGTTTTTATAAATTCCCTATACTACTATTTATTTATTTATTAACACCAGATTTTGAAAACTTGCTAACTTTTCTTTTCTTCTTCTTTTTTTTTTTTTTTTTTTTGTAGAGACAGAGTCTCACTTTTTCACCCTCGGTAAAGTGCAGCAGAGTCGTTCCAGCAACCTCCAACTCCTGGGCTTAGGCGATTCTTCTGCCTCAGCCTCCCAAGTAGCTGGGCTATTAGGACACAACGCCCGGCTATTTTTTGTTGCAGTTTGGCCGGGGCTGGGTTTGAACCCGCCACCCTGGGTATATGGGGCCGGCGCCCTACTCACTGAGCCACAGGCGCCTCCCAGCTAACTTTTCTAATAAGGAAAATTACTTCAGGATCAACCTTGTTTGAACATATTTTATTTTGAATACTAATGGTTCTTATTACAAATACTTTAGTCAGGATTCAAGAAACAGACTACTTATTTCAAGTAAGAACTTAGGCAATCGTGCATTTCCAAAGCTTATAACTATTAATCTGTGTGATTTTTGTCTTATTTATAGGATTAATCTGTAATACTGTTGGGATTGTGTTTATTTTCTTTATAGTCATCCAAGATTATTATTTCATTCTACATGGATTGCAGCGTGCTATGCTGAAGTGGTTGCTCCGCTCTGCTCAGAACGCTGTATTATCGTGAGTGATGCAAACTGTTACCCGGCATCTGTCAAATCACTCCTGAAACTGCCATCGGCAAACAGAGATTTCTCTCTAAAGCTCACACCCTAAGAGGCTGCTTGATTCCAGAGACAGATCAATTGACAAGTACAAAAACCTCCTCTCTCTCCAATTAGAGAGAACTCTGTAGAAACCCTCCAGATTCATAGCTCTCTGCGGGGTGACCCGGGGTCTTTGCTGAGATCTCACTGCAGTTCAGTTTCATTCTTTTTTGACTCCTGCTTCCTCAAGTGTTATCTGTAACAAAATCTATCACACTGAACTACATAAAAGAGACTGCTATCAAAACAACCTAGCCTGCCACATTTACTTCATGGCGAAAAGAGGTAACTCTATTTTTAAACTATAGTTCATTAAAATGTAATAAAACATTCAAATCCCGACACAATGGCATAACAGGGACACGATTTGCCTTCCCAGTCATGAAGGAATCTTTGCTGTATCCTCACTGTGAGAAGCTTGCAGGTTTCTGGATAGAAAGCTCAAAGAAGTTTCTCAGGCTGAGCCCTCCAGATGTTTCTCTCTCTCCCACGTTACTCCACACTTGGGCTCCGCCTATTCATCAAAATCGTCACCTAAGTGCTTGTGACTCCAAGAGCTTCTACCCCAAGTAACCTGACCTGGGTTGCTGCATATCTCCAGATGGCCATATTCCCCAGACTTGAGGGTGGTGGTGCCCAGGAGCTGCAGTTCTCCACTGGGTTTAAGGAAAGTCATTGGTTTCCTGTCCAGCTTTTTCTTCCTGTAAGGAAAGGAATAATGACTCCCATCACTTTATACATTAGAAGTGAAACCTGAGTCCCCACCATACTGTTTTGAATATTGCAAGAGAAATTTTAATTACTGATCATTTTCTTGTATTAATGTATTAGAAGCACATGTTACTTACAAAAGATGTCTTGAAATGATTGCCTTTATGTAAATTATATTTTATCTGTGAAAAAAACAGGCAACATTTAAACTTCAGAATGTTATGTATAATCTTTGCTGATAAAGCCTGTGATACTTTGGTTCTGCATATTGGGTTAAAATTGAAAAACCGACTAAGAAGAGGGACGACTGCAGAATGAGCTGAATGTGCTTAGTTTCCCTCTACTTCTCTTCTAGTATTAAGTGGGGGGGGGGAGATGAAAAGGAATAACTTTAAAAAATGTCACTAAACATACACAAGACTGCCTGACTGCAGACAGTGTGACACACAGAGCCAAAGTGCCAATGTGATCACCACCAGCTGTGTGACTTGGGACAACTTATGATTTGTTACTGGGTTTATTGCACTGACGATCATCACAACACCTACATCTTTGACTGTGCTGTCGGTTTCCATTGTATGTCAGCAGGCATCTCACTGATGTCACACAGCATTTCCTCATCACTTCACCTGTGACACCTAACACAGTCTGTCGTGGCATAATCCACTGACCCTGGGCAGTCATAAATACACATATATTTTCTGGAGTATGATTTGCTTAGATGTTGGGCTGGTTGAGCTTAGCGATTTTAGATTATTGTCCATAATTTTTAGGACTATATTACATATGCTTGAATATTTTAAATACTTTAATTAATTTAAAACATATTCTTGATTTTACCAGAGTTAATATGTGGTAGCATAGACATATCTAGACTTTGAATTTGGAAGGTTTTCTGTCAAGCAGAAGGAGGAGACAGGACAATGCCTGGAGTTTCTGAGGAAGTTCACGTTTTCTACTTTAATGAAATTGATGAGGCAAGAAATATCATTTCAGGGCCTTCCACTCTGAGAGCTATAAAGTCCCCCCCCCCCAGATTTCCAAATTGCTTCCTTGGGAAGCATTTTAAAAATCTCAGTGCCTATAAAATTATTCTTTTTTTCAAATAAATTATTTTACTTTTACAATCTAGAGCACAACTTAAAACAATTGGACAAATTAGTAAGCATATTCAGTTTATTTTATGTCACTTTGTGTAGGTGACAAGGTTGTCATCAAAATGATCTACAGATTCAATGCAATCCCTATTAAAATACCAGCATCACTTTGTCACTTTTCATAGATTTAGAAAAAATAATTCTATGTTTCATATGGAACCAGAAAAGAGTCCAAACAGCGAAAGCAACTTCAGGCAAAAAAGGAAAACAAGGGAGGTATCATTTTGCCAAACCCCAAGTTATACTACTAAATATAAGGCAATAGCAACTAAATAGAAACTTATTGGCACAAACACAAAGACAGAACAATGGATCAGAAAGGAAACTCCTATATAAAACCATCCTCGTAGGGTCATCTGATCTTTGACAAAGCAGACAATAACATAGAGAGAAGGAAAAGAATCCTTATTCAATAAATGGTGCTGGGATAACTGGACAGCCACCTGGAGAAGATGGAAACACCCTCTGTGCCACTCACTGCTCACAAAAGTAACTCACAATGGACAACCGACTTAAACCGGAGGCATCAAACTATAAGAATTCTAAAAGAAAATGTTGGGAAAACTCTTATAGACATCAGACTAGGCAAAGAATTTATGAAAAAGCCCCCAAAGGCGATCACAGCAACAACAAAAATAAATAAATGGAACCTGATTAAATTAAAAAGCTTCTGCACAGCCAAGGAAACAATGAATAAACAGACAACCTACATAAAGGAAAAAAATATTTGCATGCTGTACATCCAATAAAGAGCTGATAGCCAGAGTCTATGAAGAACTCATACAAAACAACAAGCAAAAAGTCAACCAAACCCATAGAATGTGAGCAAAACCATGAACATAACTTTTTTTAAAAGAAGATAGTCTAATGGCCAATAAGTATATTAAAAAAATGCTCAGCATCACTAATTATCAGGGAAATGCAAATCAAAACTGCAGTGAAGTTATCACCTAACTCCAGTGAGAATAGCTTATAACAACAAAAACAACAACAACAAAAATCCCGAAACAACAGATTCTGGCATGCTGAGATGAGAAAGGATCCCTTATACTCTGTTGGTAGGATGGCAAACTAGTACAACCTCATACGGAAAATAGTTGGAGATACCTCAAAAACTAAAAGTAAACCTATAATTGGGTCCAGAAATTTCACTGGTTAGTTACCTACAGGGGGAAAACAAACAAACAAACAAAGATTTTATTAAAAAGACACTTGCCCTTGAAAGTTAATTGTAGCACAATTCATAACCGCAAAGGTGTTCAATAAACTCAACTGCCCATCAATATAGGAGTAGATTAGTAACATGTGCTATATGTATATAATGGAGTATTTCAAAGCTATTAAAAATGGTGAAATGGGCAGTGCCTGTGGCTCAAGGAGTAGGTTGCCAGCCCTGTATGCCAGAGATGGTGGGTTCAAACCCAGCCCTGGCCAAAAAAGAAAAAAAAAAATAGTGAACGGATACCTTTTGTAACAATGGGGATAAAATTGGAGACCATTCTAAATGAAGCATTGCACGAATGGAAAAATAAACACCACACATATTAACTATTATTTTGGAACTAATCAGTCAACACCCTTTTGCACATTTAGCAGCAAAACCAAATAGAAAGAAAGTGGGGAAGGCCAGGAGGGGAAAGGCAAACTCCTACCTAATAAGTACAAGGCACACACGTTATCTGGATGATGTGCACACTTCTAACTTTGACTCAAACTGCAAGAAAGGAATTGGTATAACCGAAACATTTGTACCTCAAAAATATTAGTAAATAAAGAAAGCTATTATATAAATGTTGAATGCCAAAATAAATATCTGCATTCTCCCTCAAATTTGAATTTTTTCTGGAAATTCAGAGCAATAAAAATCTTAAAAGATTTTTTTTTTT